ATTGCAGAGACCAAACCATCAATGGACACTGATCCACCCTCCGCTCCTTCTCTCTCCTCTACTCTATCTGCGCAACTCCTTTCTTCACAGCGCACCGTTCCTTCGCTGGTTGAACGTTTTCCACTGCCTCCGCATGTGGACTTTTCTAACCCCTCTAGTCCGTAGGAACCCTTACCTGCGGATTTCAGGTATCTTTATCATTGCCAATCATGGCCTATTTACAGTGGAATATACGCGGCCTCAGGGTAATCGGGGTGAGCTTCAGATGTTACTCTCCCAGTTTTCCCCTGTTGGTGTTTGCTTACAGGAACCAAAATTACACTCTGCTGTTATCTCTCCCATCTCAGGCTATAATTTATTGTATTCTTCAGATCCTTTTCCTGATGGGACCTTTAATGAAAGTGCCCTTCTTCTACGCACTGATATTCCGTACCATCAGCTATTTTGTTCATACTTCGCTGCATTACACAGCAGCCCGTATCCACTTGCATAGGTGGTATATGCTCTGTTCTTTATATCTCTCTCCTTCTCGGGCATTATCTATTCCGGATATTGCCTTTCTTGTTTCGTCATTACCACCACCGATTCTGTTACTTGGTGATTTTAATGCCCACCATTTCCTCTGGGGGGGTCTCACTGTGATTCCCGTGGCATTCAGTTAGAGGCTTTTCTTGCCACCCACCCCCTCCATGTTTTAAATACAGGTACTCACACCCATTTTGATCCTCGGACTCACACTCTCTCTTGCATCGATCTCTCAGTCTGCTCTTCCTCCGCCCGCATTAGACTTCACTTGGTCTGTTCTTCCGGACTTACATGACAGCGATCATTTCCCAATCATTCTTACTTCCCCTTCATATTCACCACCTCTTCGCATCCCACGCTGGCAATTTGATCAGGCAAATTGGAACCTTTACTCACACCTAACTGTTTTTAGAGAGGTTCCTTCTTCGTCCTCCATCGATGAGCTTTTACACCTCTTCTCGTCCTCCGTTTTAACCGCAGCTTCTCATTCTATACCCCAAACTTCGGGCAGGCATTCTCAGAAATGCGTGCCTTGGTGGTCTCCTGCTTGTGCTCGTGCAGTACGTTTGAAACGCACTGCATGAGGCAGGTACCGGTACAATAGAACCACAGAGAGATTTCTTGAATTTAAGCAGAAGCGTGCGATCGCTCGCCGTGTCATCCGTGACGCTAAACACACTTGCTGGCGAGATTATGTCTCCACCATCACCTCTGCTTCCTCTATGAGTGTAGCCTGGAAAAAAGTACGAAAACTGAGTGGTAAATATTCTCCTGACCCGGCTCCTGTTCTGCGGGTTGCCGGTGTTGATATAGCAAACCCACTAGATGTTGCCAATGAAATTGGCAATCATCTGGTCCGTATTTCTCAGGGACTCCATCTATGCCCCTCATTTCTTTCCTCAAAGTCTGCCAGAGAGTTAGCACCCTTGGACTTTTCTTCTCTCAGAGAAGAACAGTATAATGTGCCTTTTACACTTCAAGAACTGGAGGCAACACTCTCAGCTTGCCGATCATCGGCAGCTGGGCCCGACGACATTCATATTCGTATGCTACAACATTTACATCAGTCAGCCCTTGCAGTCCTATTATGCCTTTACAATCTTATTTGGTCACAAGGAGTTCTTCCACAGCTGTGGAAATCCGCCATTGTTCTCCCTTTCCGCAAACCAGGCACTACGGGATATGAAACCTCCCACTATCGTCCCATTGCTCTTACCAGTGCAGTTTGCAAAGTGATGGAACGCCTAGTAAATAGACGTTTAGTGTGGTATTTAGAGACACACGACAGTCTCTCCACTCGTCAATATGGCTTTCGTAAGGGACGTTCTACCATAGACCCCTTACTACGCTTGGATACGTATGTTCGTAATGCCTTTGCGAATAACCACTCAGTTATTGCCATATTTTTTGACCTTGAGAAGGCATATGACACAACTTGGAGGTATAATATTTTAGGCCAAGCCCACTCCTTAGGCCTTCAAGGCAATCTACCATCCTTCCTTAAGAACTTTTTAACTGACAGGCATTTCCGTGTTCGGGTTAATAATGTGCTCTCCCCGGACTTTATCCAAGCTGAAGGTGTCCCCCAGGGATGTGTTCTGAGCACAACACTTTTTCTCCTTGCTATTAATGATTTGGCCTCTAATCTTCCATCAAATATTTGGTCATCACTCTATGTTGATGACTTCGCTATTGCCTGTGCAGGCGCTGACTGTCACCTTATTACAGTTTCTCTCCAGCATGCAGTCGACCGTGTTTCCAATTGGGCCACCACACGTGGGTTTAAATTTTCCAGCACTAAAACCCACCAAATTACTTTCACTAGACGCTCTGTCATCTCCGATCATCCTTTGTACCTCTATGGCTCCCGTATCCCTGAACGTGATACAGTCAAGTTTCTGGGCCTCCTCTTTGATCGTAGGTTATCCTGGAAACCTCACATTACCTCTCTGAAGGCAACTTGCCACAGCCGGCTGGACCTCCTTAAAACCCTTGCTCATCTTTCATGGGGAGCTGATCGTCGAACCCTCCTTCACCTACATTCCACCCTTATCTTATCGAAACTTGATTATGGTGACCATATCTATTCAGCGGCATCTCCTGCTACTCTCTCTAGCCTTAACCCCATTCATCACCAAGGATTACGTTTATGCCTTGGTGCTTTTCGCTCTTCCCCTGTCGAGAGCCTCTATGCAGAAGCAAACGTTCCATCCTTATCCGATCGCCGTGATGCCCATTGCCTTCGCTACTATGTACGCTCTCATGATCTCCGCAATCCTTCCATTTATAGAATGGTCACTGATATTAGTAGACATCCTTTATTTGTTCGCCGCCCCTTTCTATGTACATGTAGCATCTCACTTTTCCCTACCCCCCTGGGAATTCCAGCTGTTCGAGTCTGTTCTTTCTCTCTCCCTTGCTCGAAAGCCCAACTGTCTACGGTCGCTTCCCGCTCTCATTTTCTTGACCACTTTCACTCTCATTCTCATGCCATTGCTGTGTACACAGACGGCTCTAAGTCTTCTGACGGCGTAGGATTCGCAGCAGTGTTTCCGGACAGCGTCGTACAAGGGCATTTACTATCTTCGGCTAATATTTTTACTGCTGAATTGTATGCCATCCTTACAGCACTTACCCGTATTGCATCTATGCCTGTGTCATCATTTGTGGTTGTCTCAGACTCCCTTAGTGCTTTACAGGCTATACAGAAATTTGATACACCTCACCCCTTAGTCCTCCGTATCCAACTTTGGCTATGCCGCATCTTTACCAAGCATAAAGATATTGTTTTTTGTTGGGTCCCTGGTCATGTTGACGTACAGGGCAATGAACAGGCAGACACTGCTGCGCGGTCAGCAGTACATGACCTACCAGTTTCATGTAGAGGTATTCCATTTACGGACTATTTTGCTGCAATATCTTCCCAACTTCACACCCGTTGGCAACAACGTTGGTCTACTATGCTCGGCAACAAACTTCAATCTATTAAACCGAGTATAGGTTACTGGCCGTCTTCTTATCACCAGTGTCGAGGTTGGGAGACTACTCTCTCCCGTCTTCGCATTGGCCATACTCGTCTTACTCATGGATATCTCATGGAGAGGCGCCCTGCTCCTCTCTGTGAGAATTGCCAAGTTCCATTATCAGTCAGCCACATTCTGTTGGACTGCCCACTTTATCAACGAGCACGCAGAATTTACCTCCGTCGTCGTCTTCGCTCTGCTGCTCTCTCTTTACCTTCCCTTCTCGCTGATGGACCCACCTTTCATCCAGACTCTCTCATTGACTTTTTGACAACAACTGACTTACTTCACAAATTCTGATGCCTTCAGCCCTTTCTACTTCAATCTCTTGCTACCCCCTACCCCCCGTACTATCCCCTGCCCCGCTGTTTTCTATAACCTACTGATCATCCCTCCTCCCTTCTGCCATCCATTACCCTCGCTTCCTTCCCTACCCTGCAGTGCTGTATAGCCCTTGTGGCTTAGCGCTTCTTTTTGATTATAATAATAATAATAATGTAGGTCCCAACTGGCCAGCCAGCCAACCAGCCAGTCAGCCAGCCTGCTGAACAAGTATTATGTTCCAGAATTGTTTCTCTTTACTTAGGGCATAGGTTATAAGACATTCTGAAAGAGTGTTGCACATGGGTTATTATCGAGGTTTTTTTATATTTCCTCGACCACTTATGGCCACATTCACCTCAGAGTCACTAAACTCGGGGTCAACATCACTTTCCTCTTAAAATAGGAGAGTTAATAATACATGAAATCAGTGAATCCCAGGTGTTTGCCGTGCTGTTTGCTCTGGCTGGCGTTCATTTGAACTGGTGCTCCTACAAGGTACTAAGTGGTCCCAGATTTTTTTAATGCAGTGCACACTGAGTGTTATGACCCATTCTGTGCTGACAAGGCATCTCAGGCCAATCGTGCCATATTTGAAGGCAGGAAAAATAAGACGTTTATATACGTTTGGGACACTAGCAGTAAGAACTTATATATACATTTGGACCGTTTATGGGTTAAATCTAGGTTTGTTAAATTGAGGGTTTACTATTCAACATTACTACTGTATTAGGAAAAAAATCATGACACTGTGTTAGATTACAAAGTAAGGCAACTAGATATTTGAAGGTAAATTGTTAAAAATAAAGGCACTAAAACCTCAATGTAATGGACTCCGTTGTAATGGATTTCAGATTTAATGAACAAAATCTGTGACAGGACATTGTCCGGAAACAATAGACTTAGTTTATTAAATTCAGAATTCTTCATTAATGGTACAGTCATGGTAAAAAAATCTTGTCATTCTGATTTACATGACAGTTTCCTTTAATGTACACCAACTCCTCTCTATTAGTCCATTATATCAGAGTTTCATGAGTTCTACATCAAAGGTAAATATAATATGTGGCTTCCCTGAATATTGCCACCAAGTAGATGTTTCTGTAAAATTTGCTTTTTTTATTTAAACAGTTACGAAATCCCATGGAGAACTTTACATATGCTACAGTGAAGGGATCGTCAGTGGATATGTACTTCCGACGACAGGTGGAGCTGAGCAACATGTACCGTACTATGGAAGGAAACAATTATCCTACAGCAGAGGCAGCCATCACAGCAGTCAAATCTGGGTAGTTTTTATGAAAATTTTTAATTTGCTATTTTTGATACAGAGATTAGTAAAACTGACCATATGCAGTATTGTAGGTGTCTGCAGTCACAAGGCAGTAGTATACTTAATTGAAAGTCCTCACTTGAGTAATTTTATATATATATTTTTTTTCAGGAAGTTGAAAGCTTTCATATGGGACAGCTCACGTCTGGAGTACGAGGCAGCCCAGGACTGTGAACTGGTGACTGCTGGGGAGCTTTTTGGCCGCTCAGGGTATGGCATTGGTTTAAAAAAGAACTCTCCATGGGCAGATAGGGTGACACTGGCCATCCTCGAGTTCCACGAGAGTGGCTACATGGAAGAGTTAGACAACAAATGGATTCTGCAGAACCAGGAAGACATGTGCAACACAGATGAGAAAGCCCCGGCAACACTGGGGCTCAAGAACATGGCAGGTGTATTTATCCTGGTTGCTGCTGGCATTGTTGGTGGTATAGGACTCATAATTATTGAAATAATTTATAAAAAGCATCAAATTCGCAAGCAAAAGCGCCTGGAAATTGCTCGACATGCTGCAGACAAGTGGAGAGGGACTGTTGAGGTTTGTTAAATACTGTATAATGTACATAAACTGCTCTTTCATATTTTCATATACAATATGCAGTTAATAAGAAAATGAAAAATGTAACCTACTGTACAATACAGTGCTATACATGAGTTGGTTTTTGTAATTTCATACTTGTGTATTTTCAGAAACGTAAAACTTTACGTGCCTCAATGATGATGCAGAGAAGACTCAAAGCAAATGGGGTTAATGAGCCATCAGTGATTTGCGTCAATGTTGAGAGTGGGTCCGGTGCTGGATCTGGGGTAGGAACAGCGGCTGGGACGGGGGCGGGATCTGGTGTTGGTACTGGTGCTGGGGCTGCAGTTGTGAGTTCTGCAAGTGGCACTGCTGCAGCTAGCATTGGAGCAGCTGACCTGCCTCGCATGCTTCCCCCACCACCGCCAGCACCTTTAGCACCTCCTTCACCTCCAGGCCTACCTCCAGATGTGCCCCCAGCACCTCCTGCACCCCGATGGGGCAACGACATTCGGCAGCGCCATGTTTCAGCTCAGGATGAAGGCCTGCCTCCTCCACCTCCACCCCCTGCAGGCGTGGACACCATGCGACTGCACGCCTCTTACAAGAACTTATTCGGCCCTGACCCGCCTGATTTGGTGGCGTGAGCATCTACTGTAGCCTCTGTATCAGAGGTAGCCAGGTTCACAGGGGCAAGTGATCCTGACAGGGAGGCCCACTATCTCCCCTCTTCATTACGTCCACTCGGCGGCGCCCCGGGCCACGCTCCCCTCAGGCCACTGTGCTGTGCACCACCAATGGCCTGCCAGCTGGGCCAGGGGGGCACTAACTACGCTTCTCACTCGTCAACAACATTGTATAAACCCATGGACATTTATAGCATGTTATCAGTGGGTCAGAGAACCTTGACCACCCTAACTTTAATTGTTTATTTTGGTAAAACACATTCAAGCCCTTCTGCAACTCCTGGTTAGAAAGCTAAATATTATTTAGTTAAGGTAAGCCACACAGGAGTTAAAACAGTTGATGAGGGAACTTGTGTGTGGTTGTATAAAAGAGCCAGTAGACACACTCCCATAGTACCCCGTGGGAGCAAGAGGGCGTGCTTGTTGATCTGTTGTTGTCCTCCCATCCTGCACCCTCACCGGGAGTCTTTTTAGCTAGGGAGCATTAATGTGGAGCCCTGACCAGTGTGAGGGATGGGGAGGGGGGACTGTCTGCTCAAGCCCTCAGTATGAGGGGAGAGTGGCAATGAGTGCTCCCTCAGACTGTTGGTGTGAGGGGCAGGCAACATTAAGTACCCTTCATGCTAGGTGTGAAGGTTTCTGTGGCAGAGTCCCTCCTTATTATCACTAGTGCAGTATGGATAAAAGTAAATTTCACCTCTTGTTATGGGTTGCCATGAGTGTCTTCATGTGTGGTCCACATATGTGAGGAATGGTCACCAGGTAGCGCCCTTTCATACCACACCTATCTGTCATGAGTAGATAGTTGTTCCATCATGAAGTTGATATCAAGAGGTAAACAGTAATAAGTCCTTATCACATCAACTGGTGTTAATAGCTGGTGACACTGTACACCCCTTGATGCTGTCAGTGTGAAGTGTAGGTACCTGTAAGTGCTTCCTCCCTCCTCCTTCCCACTTACCCCCATCACACATCTTTCTGTTAGCCTTGTAAGGCCCTGCTAAATATCTGGAATCTACATTGTTGATGATACGCTTATTATCGTTGTGTGTTGTGACTACGGACAAGAACAGCCACACACAGACAAACATTGGGCATACAGTTACCTTGAAGGGCTGTGTGTTGACGACTCATGATGTGGTGGTCTGTTCCCGCGGTTGTTTACATGTATACTTATTTGTAATTTCTGAGGCTGAATATGATGAAATTTAATTGAAAAATTAATTTTTCTACAAAAATTCAATTGTGAAAAAGATCAGTTGTAATGTTTATAAATACAGTATAATAATGATGAAAAAACTTTGGTAGAAAATCAGTTGTTAAAAAGAAATTTTATATAATTATGATTTCTGTCATCAAAATTGGTAGAGTAATATAATTTTTTGAAAAATGCCACTAATAACTAAAGAGGACATAATACTAGGAAGACCAACCAGCTTTCCTTTGTTTGGTCATGTGGGCTGAAGATGCTGGAATTCATAGTGCCACAAGTGGAAGTTCAAGCCCAGAAGTGTTGCATTAAGGAGCAATGAGCCTTATAACACAACTACTGAAGGGTGAGAATAACCTAGTGTGTGGCGTAGAAAGATGTTTAGGTGTGTGTGAATGTGTGGATGCATGCGTGTGTTTGTGTGTTTGATACAAGGATCCAGAATGGAGCTAAAACTTATATTGATGTAGCTATGAGTTTGTGAAAGTTTTCTTATAGTTTCATTACCTTTGTATTTATTAATTTAAAGTTTGAAATGTTCTTCCATAACTGTGGTAAATTTAGTTTAATTTGTACCAATTTAAAAATTAAATAATGTATTCAAGTACGTATGATGTCCTTATTCTGGTCATTAATGACTGACTCTTGACTTCAGACAAACTCTTTTGGGTCTTTAATGGTTTTGTCAGCATTGAAATAAGTTCTGAGGAAATGACAATTAGTAGTGTGTGTGTAACCTTATTCTTTGATTTAATAATTTTTTGCATGTTTTGAACTACTGATGCTGTATTAGTATTCAGAAGGGGTGACTGGAGATGAGTTCTTATTACTAACTGTAATGTGCTCAAGCTTCACATCATAAAAATAGAGTGAACACCTTGTTTCATATACTGTATAAAGTAAAAGCAGGAACAGACATCTTGTGTACTTGTCTATATCATATATATCACTCTTTTTACTTAATTAAAAACCGAGGCATTTTCCTCTTGCCATTCACACAGCTCCAGTCACCTTGTTGATGCTTAGTACAAACTTCATAAAACTGGAATTACAGGTGATTGATTAGATTGGTTCCCGTACTATTCATAATTTCAAGTCTCTCTTTCTCTCGATGTGCAACAGTAAATACCCAATCGGTGCTGAGTAGCTGTCCATCATGTTCTGGGTTTTTGTACCTTTATGCAGCATCTAGCAGATCATTTCCTGGGAACATGTATCCACACAGGGGCTGGAGACTGGTGTGGTTGCATAGTCACAGGAACCTGTGGGGAGGTACACTGCACTAATGTTATGTTAAGGCAGCACTCTTCTTTAACCAGTAAGCAACTGCCATTATATAATTCGAGATGTGTTCATATTGCAATGTCACGCTGCATGTAATGTTAATTGTTCCTCCTTTCATTTGCAATATATGGTACCATACCAGAATAATACGGCAATAAAATTACTAATGCAGTTTGTGTGCACTGAAGAAGAATAGGCAATATTTTGAAGAATATATTTACAGGATGTCAGAAATATTTCTTACTATAATTTGCAAGTCATTCATTATGACAAGACAATCAAGTACCTTATATAATATACCATTTGCTTCAAATAAGTCATAATGTGAGTTTTCACAAATTTTATACATTACTATATAATGAAACTACATTTTTAATTAGAATAATTTTGATGCAGTTAATTGTAAGGGAATGTACAGTACTTGACTTCTTCAGTATCTCAAGGAAAACAAGACGAGCAACTTGTCTTTGCCAAGTTGAACATTAATGTTTGGGAACCAAACTAAACATTCACACAGATTCTTTAAAATTTAAATTTATTGTTACTGTAGACTGTTGTTATTGTTCTGTTTATGCTGTGATTATCAATTACGCAATAGCTAATTCTTATTTATGAGTATAATTCATACCAGTAATTAAGCTAAATTATTTTTTAAGTTGTTATAGATTAAACTTTATTGTTCAGTTAATGGTAAATTTTTTGTATATGGATAAGACAACCTGCTCTCACCTTTATTTTATCTTATAACTAATTTGATGAGTATAGTGTGATGCATATATTGAATGCTATTTGCTGATGGCTCAAAATTATACTTATAATTTAAATCATTCTTGTTAAATGAGGTCTGTATTTTTTTTCCTGGCATGGTAAACCAATAAGCACATTTTTAGTACATTTTTCACATTTACTGGTCCCTTAACAGGCTGGCTTGTAAAGGAACAGATTCACTATTCATCCTAATCTATGCTCATGAAATTGTTAAACATTGATCTACGCATTCTGCGTGGATATACCCAGAAACACAACTCTCGATGAGGCCAACAGTTCTTGACCTAACAGCTGACATTAGTGGCTCCCAGTAATAAGCACTGCAGATAAGTTACAGGATCTCTTCATGTCAGTGATCAGGTGATGTCCTATTGTCCGACCTGAACGTTTTTCAAACATCATATATGTTAATGGAGGATTGTACCTTGTCTTATGTAAAGACAAATAGTGCTTCAATCTCCACTGTGCACTATCAGTAGCCCTTTTCACAATCCAATTGCAACAAATTATATTAAGTATTACAACTAAAAGGAAGTGTTAGTAATGAGAAAAATGTGAGTACAGTGTCACAATTCAATTATATAAATATTACTATTAATTCATCCTCATCCTACTGTTGGCTGGTAATCTAGCACTCTTCCTTCTTTCAATAAATTTTCATTACTATGGGACATACTACATACATTGACATTCTTGATGCATTCACCATACAGCTATGTTGATGGATACACTTGAGTTTTTAAATTAATAAACATTATATACACCTGGCAAAGATAGCTATATACCACAATAAGCTTATAGACCTAGATCACTACACATGGACAAAGTTGTATATAGATAAATAAATGTAAGTACCACAATTCAATTATTTAATTTAGTGCATCATTCAGCATAGTCAATTCTAATGTATGAATGTACAGGTGGACATGAGTGCCTAAAGTTGGAACAAATTATAAACTGGCATTTCGACCAGATAGAAATTAAGGGTATCATTATTCTATGCAAATATCCTTAAGTAAAATCCCCAATTAACAAATCATATAAAACAAATTAAATTTAAAATTTTAATTCACTAACTACAATGACTGGTTAATCATAATTAATATTATCTAATCTGAAGCATCATGACTAAAAAAAATTATTTTGACTTTTGTACCATAAAAAAGTAGTGCAACAGCATAAAAATGGATATATATTATGATATTTTATAATTAAAAATATCTTTTCAGAAGAGCACAGATCGCAATTCCAATGATCGACAGCAACACAATGTCTCCACTCATTTTAAAGTTCAGGCACTGTACTTTCCACCCCAGAAATTAATTCCAGTTAACTGGTTTTCCCCAGATCCCTTTATGAATGTTACCTTGCTCACACTTGAACATGTTAAGTCCCAAAATCCATTTGTCTCCTCACTCTTATCTAATATCTTTACACATACCTACTGGATACTCAGTCTTCCATACTTTTTATATATGACTAAGCCATCTTAGCAATTCCTCTTCTGCTACCTAAAATATTTTCCATATCTCCACACTGTCTTCTAGTCAATTCACTATTTATTTTCTGCATGAAATTCACACCACACAATGAATTCACACATTTCCACTGCCTCCAATCTCTTCCTTAACAGTGGCAAATTAACATACCTAGAGTTCCAGGTGTGAAGGGGGGTGGGGGATAGGGGAGGGTTGCTGAGACTTCATTATATATAAAAAACTGTTTAATAAAAGAAAAGAAATATTCTTAATTTCAAATTGATTCATGTAATTTTATTATGCATTATTCTGATTAATTAATTATAAACATGAACAGATTTTTGAAGTATAAGTACAGTATGTTGTATATACAGCTACCTCAGGTCCCTCGTTGCTCTTATGTGCAACTGCTCCTCACTGCAACATTCAAGGACTATTTTTCACATCCATACAAAAATATTGGCAACACCACACTCTGACAACGTACTTCTGTTCATAATATCCTCGATATTCCAACTACCTTACTTCCCATATCTTTTCTATAATTAACCCTCCCAAGCTCCTACACCATCCTCTTAGCTTCACTTCTGAATATCCCAAAAGCTCTGTGTCATCAAGAAACAACAACAGTGACAAGTCCCATTTTATAAAAGTTTAATTATATTTTAAACCAGCTTAATCCAGGTATACACCATTTCCCAACAGAAGCATTCAATTCATGACTCCATCTAGAAATATACATGTAGTCATATCACACATCTATCTAAGGCCCACTTTTACCAAGAATACTTTCCTTCCCTTCTCTATACTCTAACATGAGTTTCACGATCCTCATAAAAACTGTAGTTTTTAAATAGCCTATCACCTATTCCATATACTATTTGTATTTCCTGCCACATCTCTACCCAATCCACTCCATGCAGTAATATGTTTTCTTTGCAAATCTTGAAATGCAATAAACAACACCTTACTATTTTTTGAATATTGCTCACTTATGTTGTTTAATGTGAACATTTGATTCACACATCCTCTACCCTTCCTAAATCCATTTTTTACTCTGCAATCCTCCTCTTTTTTTTTTTTTTTTTTTTTTTTGCCTTTCTCCTAATTCTTTTTCAATAATAATTCTGTCATACACTTTGTTCAGTATACTTGACAATCTTATTCCTCTACAATTCTTACACAAACTTTCTTGTTCAATTATTTTATTTTAGGAATGAAGCATACATGCTCTGTGGCAATCCTTAAGAAAGGGGGAATTTGTATTTTGAAGAGCATTTTGAACTATGTATTTGACAGTATATTAAACAAATGTGTGAACCTTTCCAAAACCACTCTATATCATCACCTGTTTCAGCATTTTGGTCTTAATTCCATCCATCCTTACTGCTTGACCTCCTTTTAACCTGCCTACTATGTCATCTACGTACTTCCACCATACTCACTTTGGCTATTACCTCCTAACAGATTCTATGTATCCATGCCTCATGCATGAAATTATTGCTTCCTTCTCATCAAATACATTTAGCATCTCAAAATATTTCTCTCTCCATTTTTTTCTCTCTCCATCCCTCCCTCCCCTAACATACTATATATATAGGAATGGTGCAAACTTGAGTATATTGTCCAGAAGAAAAATTATAATTGATTGGCATAGCCTTATTTTAGGACCTATAAGCATCTTCAAAATCATGTCCCAAAATACGCATGGAGAATGATGAACGATTATTAATTCATTTTAAATATTAACATTAAAAACAACCATAAAAGAGAGAGCTTAATATGTTAGGAAACAGAGGTTAATTAACCCTTAAACTGTCCAAACATAGATCTACGTTTGCGTGCATACCGCTCCGACCTTGATTTTCTCCATAAAGCATGTAAAAAAACATAGATCTACGCAGGATTAAATCTTCATATAAATGTATCCCTCACCCTTCTACCTTCCATCTCAGATTTATACACCCTCTTCATCAACCTATCTGCAACCTTCCTTTCTACATGTTCAAACCACTTAAACAACCACTCTCATCCCTCTGAATTATACCCTTACTCACTTGGTTGGAGAGAGGGGGGGCTACAAGAGGCTTGAGGATCCAGCAGGCTTGTGTAAAGGTATTAACTATGAATGAATGGAGATGAGTGGTTTTTAATAAACATTGTATTGGAGTGTGAGCAGGGTAACTTTTATGATGGGATTCAGGGAGACCGGTTTCTTGAACCTTGACCTGGAAGTGGGGAGGGCAGTGTCTGCACTCTGGAGGAGGAAGGGCATAGATGCTGCAATCGAAGGGTAATATGACTGTGATGTCAACACACTTCTAGAAAGAACATTCACTGAATGTCGGCAAATGTGTTTTCTTCTTTGAGTCACCCTGCCTTAGCGGGAGACAACCATTGTTTAAAAAAATGTACTGTTTTATACACTGAACCTATTAAGTAACTCAGTGAACAGTTAAATTGTAATACAATAATGTATATACGTATTTATAGCAAATTCAAATTGTTATATCACATGTTCAGTAATAAGTACAGTATTTTTTTAAGTCAGAACAATTTTATTATGAACTGGAAATTAATTGTGGATGTAGTGAATAGGTAGTAGAGTGACGATGGATCTTTCATGGAACTGAGGATAAATCATGATACTTTAGAGAAAGTGGGAATGTGGAAAAAACTTTTCAAATGAAGTACAATACAGAACTAAGTTACAGTTCCCCTCTAGGAAAATTATTACAGAACACCAAGATTTACTGTTTCATATTTTCAGCTTTGTTTCTAATGGTGAACTATTTACAAATGTATAAGTTTTTAAAAAGTTTTGTAATCAAATACCTTCTATAAAATCTAGGATTTATTTCTGAAAATTAGCTTTCACCTTTTCATGAACATATTGTGTAAATAAAGCATCAAGTGGGCTTGAACCTGGGTTAGCTGGGTAACATTCCCGCATGTGTAACTGTATGGTCTTGGGGTACAGGTGTCGGGGGTGTTATCTGGCTAACCCAGGTTTGAACTCTCATGATACCCTGTTTTGACAATCTGTAAGGAAAAATGTGAAATCTCAGTTTACAGTGAAAAGATACAAAGGTCATATGAATTATTCTTTACCTAGAAACTCGAGTGTGGCCAGATATTGAATAAAATATAATTTGTGCCAACAGAGGAACTTATCACAACCGATGGATTAAGCAAAAATTTCTTGCTTTAATGCTTATGTTCCATTGTGGTCTAGGGATGCAGTTGTGGGAATGTCACCTGGCTAATCTAGGTTGGAGCCTACACAAGGGCTTTTTTTTTTTCACTCACTGTATTTCCCAAGAAGATACATAGCATTTTGGGCATCAAGTGTCAAGTCAAAATGTTTTGTTTCATGTTAAATGATTTTTTGCAGGATTTTCTTACTTGCATATATGTACTCTATATTAAGTTCCTGTACATTT